TTTTTTATTTTTTTTAATTGGCGGAGAATAGAGAGCAAGGGAATCTGAGACAAGGGCCGAAGCTGTAACTGTGATAAAAGGATCAGTAGGAGAAAAAGACAAGAGTTAAATGTGGGATAATGAGGCAACATAAAAAACAAGGTATTTCAAATGAACTGTATCCAATTTAGAAAGAAACATCAGAGAAAGGATCCCTACTTTCAAGCTAACACACGAATGTTTGAATAAAATGAAAACTTGAGTGATTTACTTCCTTTTCTTTGATCACTTTATCACCTTACTGAAGCCATAAATTTATCACATTGCAATTTTTCCAGTTATACAGACACAAAGACCAGGTCGTTATTTTACGCTTCTAATATTAATCTTATTTTATTCATCTTTGCTCAGTCTACCAAGTCTTTTTTATTGAAACTCAATTACAGATGGAAGAAATATCATTAAAATATGATTGGCTACATTAAAGCAAAACTCATTAGGTAGATATGCCATTTTTCAATAACTTTAATGGATGCTTTGAATTCCACATAACTTCCACAAGTGAATAGTTTATTCATAGACTTTTACATGGATTTAGGGCACTACGTTTGCCCTCCACCATGAATTTCTTTTTTAAAAGAAGCTCATTTTGTCACTTATACTGTTAAAATATGATCTTGATTCCTGAGTTCATAGCGCCACTGAATGTTTTGTGAGAAATCTTGTCAACCCTTCCAAACACAGTCTTACGGCAGTTTGTGAACTAGTCATGACTAGTAGTCTATTAATTCATATTTCTGTGCACAAATCAGCTAACTGAACCCTCCCTGTCTTTCTGTTCTCACAAAGTCCTCATTTGCAGACTGTAGCTATACCTTGCCTATGAAGTCATGCCATCTGGGATGAGTTCCAGTCCACAGACATTAAAAAAGATGGAAGCTTCTGGAAATGAAAATTGAAATCATTTACCAAATTTACCCTGTATCTACTTAGATTTTGTAGCTTTGGATTCCAACCAAACAAAACTACCAAACTTCAACCAAATGGTGGCTTAGGCTAAATGTAATGCTGTGTTCACCATAAAGTCACATGAAACCTCACCAAGAGGTACCACATCTGTACATTTAAAAAAGTTTTCAAATTAAATTCAAATTACAAATTTGAAAGCCTTGCAGCTGAGATTGCCTCATAGACTCTGGATTAGCCTGATGAAGGACAAGCCAGAGCTAAATGATTCAACTTCTCTTTTATATGAAGACAAAACATAAAATGGGCTTTAAGTGAGCAAAGTCATAGACCCTCCTGATATCTTACTTACTGATGTTACAGTAACTTCTTTCTAGCACTCCATTACACTCTAGCTTTTGTTTGTCAGGCCACAATTCACCTTGAGTTTGGTGTTACCACACTACTGGGAATAGGGGTACATCATTCCAAGAGGCAGAGGCTGGCCTACGCAATCCTGCATCAACTCCCTAGATAGACATTATGCCTCTACACTATCAACAAGCACCTGACCTGTCCTTGCGATTCATCATAGAGCCAAAATATCCAGAGCTGTCAGCAGACTGAGTTCACTGTAATTCTAAAGGCTCCAACAACATTAACCTTTGTTCAGGCCTTCCTAAATAGGGTTAAACCCAAGAATTCCCAAATCCTAGGAACAACTAATCCACATCTTTTTACATTGAACATTTCAAGCATTGGTTTTCAGTCTGACTGGAAGTAAACACTGATCTCAGCCATCTGGAAATTGTGGGAAAACGGCGACCCACTGCTTGGTCTGCTGGAGGTGGTCTTTAATATTCCATGCTTAAAATGAGCATCTTGAGAAGACTGTGGTTCCACTGGTGGAATATAAATAAAATTTCACTTAAGTGAACCTAGTAAAGCTGCAATAGATT